TTGGCTGTGACTATCACGTGCAGACTGATCACCCGTTACTGCGTCAAAGAAAGAAGTTAGACAAAATGGGACACATTCTTTTGGTGACACCAGCGTTGGTGGGACATAGGTAGGGTGTTTATCCTGTGTGGAGCTCACTGCAATTATTTAGTCATCAGAATTGATCTTGTCTTTCGGTATACTCAATCATGCGGCATCATAGGCGTATCAGCCGGGAAGGCAAGAGGGAAGCAAGCCCCCCCCCCCCCACTGAATAAGTTAGGGGGGCTCAGTGTCCCCACTTTCGACAGTGGTAACTGTCGGCTGCGCACTGGGGAAAACAACTAATGCGAAAATTTTTCTTCACCAGTGTAATTACTCAGTTATATCGTTACGAGGAAAAGAAAGTATTACGTCAGAAAGGTAGAATATAGTAATAATTTTCCAACATTTGCGCAGGGGCGATTTTCCTTGAAGGCTCTTTGCGACGCTTTCCGCCTTGTACTGTAGTAGTGCAGAGGAGGCTAGCACTGAACAGGGGCCTTATAATAATTCATCACCTGTTCATTTTTTTATTTATCTGTGACTGGCCGATGTTCTTATACATGGGAATCAACAAACCTTTTATGAACCAGTCAGAGCATTTTCTGCTTCAGGAAATTGATTTTTTTTCATTGAAAAGGATTATCATAACCACTGCTCTGGCGAAACTGCTTTGAACATAAGATTGCGACTAATCCTTCAGAATATTTTATTTTTGCCGTACTGGAAGTGCCAAGAAAGGTTGCCGCCTTAAGCTCCAATAAGTCTGATCAGCCTTGCTTATGGCGATTGGGAGCGATGGAGGCAGCTTGTGAAGTGGACGAAAAGTGGTGGACTCGAGCTCAGTGAGAAGCTAAGTAGATAGAAAGGCTCAAAACACCTTTGGTATTTGCTCAAAGCTCGATCCTCAAAGTTCTTCGCGCATTCTTGGAATCGCCTAGGTGCGCTATTGCGGTCGCAACTATTGCCAGTGCCAAAGACAACCCGATTACGACATATATAACTGTCGACACACTCTGGGCGCATATTTGCCATATATCCAGACAGCCTAACCACCACCTTGCTAGCCTGCCACTAAAACGACCAGAGTTCTCTTGAGTGGTGGCAGCTAACCAGCATTCCATTTCCTGGATGTTCTCACCCGCAAGAATACCGCTAAGCCTAGAGTGGTGCCTGAAAAGACCCCCTGTACACCTTGAAGTGCCGAGGATATACAAAGAGGTGCCATTCGCAGCCTTCAAGCAGATCTCATTGGACCTTTTGCGTACATCATATGCAAACTGAACTCATATATATATACGGACTGTTCAGTTTCACGAAATTCAACGGGCACTTTTGTGAATCCACCTCAGTCAACGACTGTCAAGCTCAAAACTTCAGACGTCACAACATTTACGGGTTCCAAGCTTGACACCCTTATAGCCGCAATTATATTTGTTTTGCGAGAATCCCCTGCTCTGTGTTATTTATTGTGACTCCAATGTGGCCTTTCAATGTATGCAAAGTCCACGACACGGGAGCTACCATCAGATGGTATCTCAAATCAATGAAATCTGTCATTGCACCACTAACAAAGGACATGACGTAATCTTTCAAAGGCTGCCTGGTCACTGTGAAATTGGTGGTAACCACCTCGCCAACAACGCTGCCCCATAAGCCTACGACGGAGCACCCACAATGCTCATACCCCTGTCAAGGGTTGATGCCGCAAAAGAACTTCGCCGCATCGCGCATATTACCCCACTTATGCATTGGAATCTTCCCCTGAACTCCACTCGATGCCCACACGTCGTCACTTGATTACTCCAATTACAGCTACCATCAAAGACTTCGTGACGGGTATACAATGCTGTGTCGGTTTAGAGTCGGCGTTGCCTTCACCTATTCAATAAGTTATCGCATTGGTATGGCTGACTCTCCCAACTGTGATAATTGCCATTGTGTAGGAACTCTCGACCACGACCTGTGCCATTGCCCAGATTTCGAAAAAGATCGAAGGACTCTCCAGTGTGCCTTAAGGAGGCTGGTTGATCAACCCTTCACTTTGGAGTTCTTGGGAGCGTGGCCTTCAAGTACTTCAGCCGAGAAAGGCACACGAGCCCTTCTGCACTGCTTGAGAGGAACATCCCTCGCCACGGTGGTCTAGTAGCTAAGGCTCTCGGCTGCTGACCCCCAGGTCGCGAGATCCAATCCCGACTGCGGCGGCAGCATTTTCGATGGAGGCGAAAATGCTGTAGGCCCATGTGCTCAGATTCGAGTGCACGTCAGAGAACCCCAGGTAGTCCAAATTTCTGGAGCCCTCCACTACGGCGTCGCTCATATTCATACGGTGGTTTCGGGACTTGAAACCCCACATATCAATCAACAATTTGACGGCAACGTCATTGTGTGACCGCCTGTGGAACCTTAACTGTGCGTTTGATGTGTGTGTTATGTGCAATGTGTGTCTCCTTCTCTCTCTCTTTCTTCTGCATTCCCCTCTCCCCGTGTAGGGTAGCAGACTAAACATACCATAGTTAAACTCCCGACCTTTCTTATATTTTGCTTCTCTCACTCTCTCATTATTACACCGTGGCGAAAGCCACTAGATGCCCCCGGGCTATACTTACTCGATGCTGCGACTGACGGCAACGCTCGTTCCTTCCTTTTTAGTTATGCAGTGCGACTGGTAATAAATACCACTAAGCGGAAGCCTATGCCACCAATCTGTAATGGCTGATTCAGTTGTCAGGTGAGTAAAGTCATTTTCATTCAAGGGTGCAGTACAAATAAATGAACCACGCATTCTGCCCATGAAGGCATTGACCACCGCGTTGACACAGGTGCTAGTTTATCACCAGCGTAGAACGCGTAGCGCCTCTTCTTATGCCGCGTCTCGAAGGCGGCACCTGCGGGATTGCCAAAAAACAAAACTACAACTCTGGGAACGCGTTGGACAAACAGGGGGCGACTGAAAGCGAACGCCTTCTGTCCTGTTTTCCTCCCTTTCAAATTCGAACCGCCATGCACTCTTGCTTGCGTTTTTTTGTTTTTTGGCATACAATGAACAATTCTGAACCAGACGTTGTAGCTCTTTGTTTCTCTCGTATGTACACTACAAGTGAACTATGTGGTTGAGATTGTGACTGGTAGGGAGCTGCAAAGTCTTGTATATAGTTTTGTTTACATTGTTGTCCTATTTGCTTCAATTTAGTTGAAAATGAGCAAATCGCCCCCCACCCCCTACAAGCACTATCATTCGCTTTATTATGTTTACTTTATTTAATTAGGTAAAATGAAAAGCCGTGCAGTTGTTCTATTGATATACATAGACTTTTTGTAGCGACTGTCCTGACTCTGCATGCTTTGAATCGTGAGCAAGCGTGCCATAGCCCTAGCTTGTTTATGGCTAAGAATTTTTTGTTTTTCTTTGCTCTAGTGTTTTCCTTTCTCTCTTTTTCTCTGCCTTTCTTTCCGTGTCTCTTCCATCATTTCTATACCTTTCTTCGAGTTATTTCTTCGTACCACAGAAAAACGAATGTACGTGCTGGTTCATGATGACGATGATGATGGTGTTTCGCTCCTGTATCATGACCGAGGGCAGGCATAGACAGCGGCGCTGTCAAACTGGCACTGACTATTAAAGTGTATTAGATCAGGGTCATTTCGTCTCCCGCAATCGGTATCTTGTTCAGAATGAAGATTAAGTTTCCTCGTTTGTGAAGAAGGCAGCAGCATAAACGGCTCAGTGGATGTTTCTCAATATTCATTTTTACTCGTTCTCTAGTACTTGAGAGATTACGAAGAACTTATGAAGCGCATCTTGTTACTGAGTGTCAAAGACAGAATGTGCGGACATTTTGCGTGTTCCATCATGCCATTGCGGCCGAATGCATGTGGCCTATAGCCTACACAAAACATAACTGAACACAGTCTTTACAGAACAAGGAAGCATTCAGTTCAGGATAGCTGGAGTCCTTTCAACACAGATGATAGCCTAATGCATTCTATGTGAAAATACGTTTTTTAGAGAGCACGTTTTTTTTTTTTACGGAACAAGCGTATTGACACTCTGTGGAGTGTTGTACTAACACTGGCTAAATTAAACAGAGGTGTAGCTAGAAAGGGAACAATAAGAAATGAGAATCTTTTTAATATCCCACTTTAAAAAAAAAAGCATAGCATTCTTCAGCTTTCACAGCAGGTACTGCACCTTTCATTAACCACCCGTATTTCCCCATTGTCAGCTCGTTTTTAGCATAAAGAAAAATGCTACTCAATCAGTTGGCCCATTACCACGAGCAAAGTATAGCTGTCCGCGGCAGTGGAGGATCTGTGAGTCACCCCTAAAATTCCGTGAATAAGAATCTGCCAGCTACTTACAACGAAGTTGCCCTGCACTTCGTTATGGATACAATATTAAAAACGATATTTTTTCTTGGGAACTTTGGACGCCAAAATTTTTGTCTATCTGTGTACAATTTTCACCTTCTTGTCAAGATAGCAAACTGCGGCTGGCAAGTTTATTATAGTGCAGGCACTGGCTGACATTCACAATACTTCATATCGAAACGTACCCAAATCCTGCGTTTCTCTGCAAGCTTTATCCTGATGTTTATTTAGCTAACTTATTTGCGAAATGTGGTGGTTTAGCGGCCTTGAACCACCTGCTTTAGAAGCACGCTTCGGTATGTGGCACTGATTCGGTATCAGGTCGGCGATTGCGGCTCCACTCGGAGAAGTCCGGGCATACAATCACAACTCTGGGCTGTCGAAAGAACAACTTGGGGCTGTTGAAAAAAGGTCACCACCTGATTGCCTCGTCGTGTCAGTGGCCCGCCGTGTGCTGGGGCACAGACATCTGGACCTTTATGAATAGTTTTCTAAACTGAGACAAACAAGAACACTTTTTGCAGTACTGACGTTTTATTGATATCTGCAGCATGCATCTTTGTCATTTACTTGTTTTCGCTGCACTTCTTGCAGCTGGTCTTGTATTATCACCTACTCTCAATTTTTCGGCAGTTCGTACGCCTCCCCTCTTTCCCACATTGGGCCCGCAAAGCATACATAAAGAAAACACAATTGCATGCTGAAAAACGTTGCTGTATTTTTTTCTTGACTACAATGCATATATACAGTGCATGAGAAAGACTCTTCGATGACACGAAGCAATACTTCAAATTAAACAAGCCATGATAAAAATGATACAACAATGCGTTCTGAACTAGCATCGCTGAAATGCAGCATTCGCAAAGCGTCGGTGAGAATGGCTATTACGATTTTATGAAAGTTGTGTACCTATCACTCTCGCACTCGGCTTCATAACAATTCATAGTGATATCTATCATTACAGCAACTACTACCCCATCGCACGCAGACCTAACGCGCCAAAGTATTGTTATGCGCATAGTCTCCACCAGTCTGCTTATCGGGGCCAGTCTCTACGCCCAATTATTCTCTGTCATAGTAGTGAACTAATGATAGCGTTCACTAGACCATAAAGTTGCGTGTGGTGTTCAACCCTTGAAGCCATAGCCGAGACCATAGCCGCCGTAACCGAAGCCACCATATCCTCCTCCGTATCCTCCTCCGTAACCGCCTCCGTATCCCCCTCCCAAGCCAGAGTGCGCAATGACCGCTCCTCCTCCGTGCAGCTTGTGAACGTGATGAACACTCTTCACGAGGAACGCAGGGCCAGCGATAGCCTTCGCAAAGCCTGGACCACTGTGCAAGAGAGCCACGCTGCTACCAATGCCGACGCCGCCGACACCTCCGCCAAAGCCTCCTCCGAATCCCCCACCGTAGCCACCACCATAGCCAAGGCCGTAGCCTCCAAGCAATCCACCGGCCATGGCTGTAGCCACAACGGCACTGATGACAAGGCCAAGGTTCTGGACATTTCGGAAGAAGATAGGTTAACTCACTCATTTTGTACATCATCTTATTATCAAAATGTTTTACTTCTTTTTTATTCAAAATTCGTTCAATAGAGACAGGATGCACACTCGTGATCAGCCTAACACTTTTTTAAGTACGCCTCTGCAGCAACGGATTTCCCTTAGAACAATTAGCTCCCAATAATAAAAATTACAATGAAAAAAATGCAATGTTTTTATGTATACTGCGTTCCATAAACATGTTTATACTCGCACAGTCATTGTCTATTTAGAGTCAGTAAGCTAGTGTCAGTTTGCACCTTCAGTAAACACAGCTAGCTGTTTTCATGATTTTCATGTTATTCTTGATTACAGCGTTTAAACGAGTGAAATCATTTAGCCTGCTTGAAAAATCTTGATATATTGCCTCATAATTACCTATTACTAAGTAATATTGAGGTTATGCAGATTGAATTCACATGCACTGAACAAAATAATTCCTAACTAACCACCCCGCTTTATCTTTCCAGATAACTACTCTTACTGCTAGATGAGGATTCTATAGTGCTCAGTTTCTTGAAACCACTTCTTTCCCTCACTAAAAATCTTGTACAGCATTTACATTACCCTTCATCGCACACTAGCGAACACTTCAGATCAAGCATCCCACTGAAACGACCTTGATAGCGTTCACGCTTCGTAATACCGTTGATTAATGGCCTCATAGGACTCCTAACATTAAATTTGGAAACTCGAAATGCTTGTTTTGTTTGACAGTCCTGCATGCGGGGCCATTTCTTACCGATCATTAGTGGCGTGCGTAGCTTAGAAGATACTTTAATTTGGTTTTAAACTGAGGGTGTGTGCTCGTCCAAGTATTCAAGTGCAATCGACAGACATTTTCTGTGGTTTGACGCAGACCAGGACTATCTTGTGACGTTGCAGGGTCAACATTGGCGGGGCGCGCAAAATGCACCGACTGGCACCCGGCGAGGACTATTGTTCGTTTCCCCTCTCGCTCTGTTTCCTAGCTGCCCTTAAGGTGGTTTTGGCTGCTTACGCCAGGGAAGCTTTACTTTTTCTTGCAAAGCACACGCTCAAAGCACCCACATTGTTTAATTTCTCACGGCACACGAGTCTCCCTATCTGTAAACAGTCTCACGCATTGCTCCGCTGAAGGGCGCTAGTTTCTCACTGCATTTAGGCAGACGTTGTTCTGAATTAACGCTGCTAACAGCAATTATACGATGTGTTAAAACATTTTTGATATATTTTCGGCATTACCTGAAGCAAAGCTACAAATATCAAAGCTACAAACAAAACTTTCGCTCAGGCGTTTTTTAACTCCTAAGAAGTATAAAGACGCATAATTCACTCACCGTCATTCATTTTTAGCGATGATAGTCATTTTTAGAATAGTTCGGTGCGATATTTTTGGTCTGTCGACTTATCAGATTGTCACCCAAAACAGCTAACATCTAACCTCATCGGCAGCCCCCACCAATATCAATCTGGTCTCGGCGTTCATACTTGTGAATAGATTAAAAGGAAATATTGCGCTCATCGGAGGCACAAGCTGAACACATCATTATCTGTGACGTATTTTTTTTTCTCTAAATGGCATACATAAGTAATTATAAAAGAACGTAGCGTTTATTACGCTGCACTGACAGTGCAATGCTATGCACGAAAAGGCGAGTCTTTGCAGCGCTTTTCCAAGACAATACGGTTGTGGCAGCTACCCGTTTTCTTGAATTCAACAAATAATGGCCTCCGAAATATCGCGCACACGCCGCGCACTTGCTATATTACAGGGCTTCTTTCGTTTTTTCAGATTGCTGCCACATGGCGCTCAAGTTTCACGCTCCTCCTTAAGAATTACAATCACCGATTTTCTCACGCAGAACATAAAAAATAAACGTTTAATTCACTCCACCCAGACCCAAGAGTATCATCTTTTGATGACGTTTGCAGTGAAGTATACAGATATGGGGTCAATTTTTTTCTACCTAACCACTCGTAAACTTCCTCGTACAGTCAGTTCTAATCTACAAGTCTTTCGACATTAATCATATCTCGCACCCTGTCTTGGAATACATAGTGGACTAACATGATTCAGCCGGCGAGAAACGTGTTAGCATTAGTGAAACGCTATTCCCCTCATGGTCTGCAATATCTCCGGGGTAGTTGCACTACCCCCGCGAAATGAGTTTGACAGGCCCGTAGAATTCATGTTAGGCGTCAACTTGTCATTCCGTTAAATGCGAAGCATTTCTTAGCAAACTTCGACGACTTTAATCGTACTTAGGTATCTGTCTGGCCACCTACGACTTTTAGCTGTCCTGTTAATTCCGATAGTAGCATCGACACCTAAATTGGCATGGCACGTGACCGCATGACAGCATTCGCGAGTAGTAATAACGTGAAAATCATGAAATGTATGTCATAAATGTGATGGTTTAGATTTCATGGTCTTGCTGCTCTTGCAGTGCTTTTGTTCACATGACATGTTGAAAAGCTCGTATGCTATGACATGACAACAATGGGAACTTAGGTGACAGACCCTGACGTGGAAATCATGACATGCATGTCATGTAAGTGATGACTACAGCGCCACACACATGATTCGCTCGCGGCTGCTTCACTAGCTTCACCTATACCGAATTCAGTATTACGGGACGGATATGGATGACAAAGGTATATGACTGGTACAGACATAATAATCGTGAGATGTGTGTCATGTAGGATCATGACTACACGTAACGCTCAATGTGCGCTCGCGGCTGCATTGCCAGCTGTACATATACAAAATTTCGTAAATCGCGACGTGAATTGATGGTGATAGTAATTGCTACGTCCAAACATGATAATTATGATATGCGTGTCATGGAAGAACATAGCTACATGCCACACTCACGGTGTGCTCGTGGACGTTGCGCTAGCTTCACATATACAAAATTTAATATTACGGAACTTGAATGAATGAAGAAGATATGTGGCTGGTGCAAACATAATACTCATCTCATGCGTGCTATATAACAAACTGACTACATGCCATGCTCAAGATGCGCTCGCAGCCGTTTCGCTAGCTTCGCATACACCAAATTTGGTATTTCGGGACACGAAGGGAAGCCGAATGTAAATGACACCTCCAAGCATAATAATTACAAGCGTGTGATGTAAAACACGGCTACATGCTACGCTCATGTTGAACTAGCGGTCGTTCCGCTAGCTTCACAATTACCAATTTCGGTGTTAGGTGACGTCAATGAATGACGAAAGTATATGACTGGTGCAAACATAATAATCTTGACATGCGTGTGATGTAAGAACATCACAACATACCACGCTCATGACGTGCTCGTGGCCGTTTCACTAGCTCGACATATACCGAAATTGGGTATCACGTGATGTAAATGGACGACGAAGGTAAATGACACGTCCTAACCTAATAATCAAGGCAAGCTTGTTATGTGAAATATGACTACATGCGACGCTCATGGCACGCTCGCGGCCCTTTCGCTAGCTCAACATATACGAAATTTGGTATCACATAACGTGAATAGATGGCGGAAATAGAGATACGACAAACATAATATTCATGACATGGAAGTCAGGTACGGCATAATTTACTCACACACATCATCGATTCGCACTGAACGTGGATCTGTCAATTTCCTTCTTTCCAGAAGTCGTTTTAAAGCTGGTAAAACCACCGACGTTACATCACGACGTCATCGCCATGCATGTCGCACAGCTTCAGCTGTCCACTGCATGTATTCCGTTGTCGAATGCAAATTGTAACACTGCAGCCCTCATGTTTTGCTCTAGCTACTACAGAGTGCCATGGCATACTACATGATGCTGCTGCCCATTAAAGTCAATCAGAATACCTGGAAATTGTATGAACTTGCGAATGGCTGTAACGTTTGTTTTTTTGTTTCATACACGTGCTAATATTCTCCTAAGACAAAGCACAACGGGTATCTATAGTAATGAAAATAAAGTGAAATGAAACGTGTTATATTTTCTAGTCCGCAGATTTGCTTCCAGAAGTATTACTCCATAACATGTCGAAATGAAGTAAAGATCAAGATCTCAACACTAATAGAGCCGTTCTCAAAGGCGCGATGAGTATATGTGACGTTTGTTATTCGCGCAATAATTTTGAGACAGGCCGGTATTCAAACTAGCATAAAATGGGACACTTTATGTTCGTTCCTCTTGGTGTCATTTATACATATTGCGAAAGATATTTCTGAAGGGTAGAGTTCCGAAATGCCCGTAGAAAAGTTATGCATAGAATGGAGGCTAATAGTGTTTAACGACATAGAAAAACTTCGAGAATGCGAGCGCAGTGAAGGACCTTCACAGACGCCTAAGTAAAGTGATGAACAAAGCATGCTACTGCCTTTTCTTTCTATTCCTAAGAATCACATGCCAAGTGCTGACAATGATTAGAATACCTACGAATGCACCTCTCCGTACTCACCAATGCTTTCATTTTGCTAGCTGGACGGTGGAGGCACTTTCTCTCCTCGAAAACTGTAGATGCAATGCATGTACAGCGTTCGGCTCCCAGTCTTAAATACCCGTGAATATCAAAGGGTTCATCTTAACAGAAAAGAAGTAAAGCAGGAAAGTCACGAGTCAGACTGCTGTCACGTAGAACCAAACGATACTTATCGCCCTTGAGATTCTCACCCAGAAATGAAATGTTTCCCTTACGGTTCACTATGCACGACGCTCTCGATGCTTCCTACTTTGATTGCAGACGGTAGCGTGAACGCTAAGACGTGTGTTTAAAGTTGCTCAAATTAGCTACGCTTTTAGTATTTCTATTCGTGCCGGCAGTGAGGATGAGGCGGACCCGAAGTGACCGGGCTTGCCTAGGTTGACCTCAATTGCACAGGAATGCGGTGAAGTGTACCGCTCTCGCGCTGCGTGAGGTCACCACAGCTTCAGTTTTCCCAGGGACAGACGAGGAAATGGTCAACAGTGCTCGTACATTTACCGGTTCACATGCTTCTACAATATTAGGCCAGACCAAAACAGCGACTTCAGTTCCTTATGTGAGAGCATGCAAATTTATTTACGGCTCATTTTCTCGATAGATTCATGCAAGCGCTACGAAAGTTAGGGGCCCACAGATAATATGCAACTGTTATGGGGCGCAGTTTCGTTTGCGTGCCAGTTATGAATGCAAAAGAAAAAGATTTCGCTTCAGTTTTGTGTTTGCATAGTTTTTCTTTTGAGTAAAGGCGCGCCTGAAAAGCAACTACTGGTAGGACACGGCAAACTGCTACTGTTACGGTCACTGACAAGCCATTCTTTCATATACATGCTAGTGGAAACACATTGACAACTCAAGCCACTGTCACTTCTAATTTTTTTTCCTCGTTTTTCAGCCTCGTAAATGCCTCTAGCAAACAGAGGTCTGCAAACGCTTCTTCTTCTCGCCGTTTTTAGTTTTATTATAACTTCTTAGCACAACGCCACAAGGAACTCATAGGGACTGTTCAGAAAGGAAGTATCATAGTTGCCGAAAAATCTGTCCGAGTCCGGGGTTTGAACCCGGGGCTAACGCCTATCCAGGGTGGTCAATGTGCCCATTGGGCTAACCATCAAGCTAGCAATTGACAGTACGAAGGTGAATTCATAGACAACTCGAAACACATAGACGCAAGTATCGCAAATGGAATGTAACGCGCTTTTTTTACTACAACTCCATGCAGTATAACCACTAATTTCCAGTATAACTTCTAAGTATACTTTTTAATCTTTGCCTAGGCTTTCCTCCTAACGCACGCATTGTTCGGTACTCAATCCAGTATTCATGTGCATAATTGCACTCGAACATGTATAATCAGTCTTCCTTCGCGCCCCCATGATCAAAAGATTGCCCTCGAGCAACGCGTCTGGGCGGTAAGAAATGATGTCTAAATATGTCTAAGTGTAGAGACAATATATATAAAAGAAGCCCCACTGCAAAGAACGAGGTGAGTGCTGCGGAAATATACTGTCACGGGCCGTGGCCGAAGACAGAAACTTTGCGTAGGAATTTAACTGTTTATTTGGGCGAACCTGTGCCCGGTAAATGGAAAGTCTGATTACAGTAGCAGTCTTGGACTGATAGCGGCGAACAGAGCGTCGGCCGTCGATCAACTACTGACAAGCGGTTAAGCGCGTCGGCATTTATACTCTTGCCGTCGAATGTTCTAGCGTTATCGCTGGCTGTGGCGTGGGTTCCAGAACAATCTGTACTGTTCGCACAGTGGGCGTGATCTTATCGAAATGATCTACTACAGTCCGAAACCTTCTCGAAAACTGCAGGCGCGGTTTGCGCTGAGAATCGTGTGGTGTTTTGGGACGATAACAAAAACTTGGGAAATGGAACGTGGCATTGCCCCCCTCTGAAAAAAGGCATCGTCCCGATGCTTTAAACAAAGATGAAAGTACAATAATAATGCAAGAAAGTACAATGAATAAATTACGATACAGCAATAATACAAAAAACACTGGTTCAGTTTCTTAACGCGCATGAAACGGCTTGAGGCGCACGACATGGACGACTACAGGTCGCGATCGGCGTCGTTGAGAGTTCGTGATGCCGTCGGGGACAACCTCGTAATCAAGTGGGCCGAGACGTCGAACCACCCTGTACGGTCCGAAGTACCGTCGCAGAAGCTTTTCACTTAGTCCACGTCGGCGTATCGGCGTCCTCACCCAAACACGTTCACCAGGCTGGTATTCCACGAAGCGTCGTCGAAGGTTGTAACGGTGGCTGTGGGTCGTCTGTTGATTCTTGATACGGAGACGCGCAAGTTGTCGGGCTTCGGCGCATTGAAGGTACTCGCTCACATCGAGGTTTTCTTCGTCGGTGACGTTGGGTAACATGGCATCGAGCGTCGTTGCCGGGCTCCTTCCGTAGACCAATTTGTGTGGAGATATCTGCGTCGTCTCCTGCACCGCCGTGTTGTATGCGAAGGTCACATACGGAAGAATGGCGTGCCACGTCTTGTGTTCGACATCGACGTACATTGACAGCATGTCGGCGATCGTCTTGTTAAGCCACTCGGTGAGGCCGTTGGTCTGTGGGTGGTACGCTGTCGTCCGACGGTGGTTTGTTTGGCTGTATGCCAAGATCGCTTGAGTTAAGTCGGCAGTGAATGCCGTTCCTCTGTCGGTTATAAGGACCTCCGGGGCGCCGTGACGTAGGACGATATTTTCGACGAAGGACTTAGCTACCTCAGATGCAGTGCCTTTTGGCAGGGCTTTTGTCTCGGCGTAGTGGGTGAGGTAGTCGGTAGCTACCACGATCCACTTGTTTCCGAAAGCTGACGTCGGGAACGGCCCCAGTAGGTCCTGACGGGGGGAGAAGCGGAGAAGCCTGTCTGGTGCTGCCTGGTTGTTGGGTGTTGTGTGCGGTGTGCGTGGTTGTGCAGCGGTACGACATAAGCGATAAGCTTGATGCACAGGGCTACAGGCCGTGGCAGCTCTTCTGCCGTCGCGGACGTACCGCCGACTAGACCGCGACCGCGTGCGAAAGGATTATGAGCGACTGGACGCTTCGACGACGACTGGATTACTACACCACCGTGTCGCCGGCGGTGCAACGCCACGGAGTTTCGACGACACGCTTGTGAAGTGCGGGTGCAACGACGGCAGAGAAAGCCCGGTTCTGGAGCCTTGAGGCATGGACCGTTTACGACGGAGCCTGCGAGACAGCCTTCGGCGCGGTGCACGTCGGGAGCACGTGCCCGAATGCAGCAAGCCGCACCTGTGGCAGGCGGACGAGGTGGCTGTCCGGGCTGGAACTTGCACCTTCCCGGTCAAATATCTCGGCTGTGTGGAAGTCATTGAGTCTCGTGGCATGCAGTTGTGTGAAGAGGCCCTGAAAGTTTTGCGCAACAGCTGGCGGCGCATGGTGCGGGGTACACTGCACGTGACAGGCGACGGCCTTCGGGTGGTGGACGAGACAGGCACCCGGGGCCTGCTGGTCGACCAGACCATCGAGAAGGTGTCGTTCTGCGCGCCCGACCGCAATCACTACCGCGGCTTCTCGTACATCTGCCGCGATGGCACCACACGACGACGGATGTGCCACGGATTCCTGGCCCTCAAAGACTCGGGGGAGCGCTTGAGCCACGCTGTGGGCTGTGCCTTTGCGGTTTGCCTGGAGTGCAAGCAGAAGCGTGACAAGGAGAGTGTCCTCATGAGCATAGACCCGAAGACATCAAGCTTCACTCGCACGGGCTCCTTCCGGCAAGGCTCCCTTACCGACCCTGTCCTGCCCGATGACCCCCAGGAGGGAAAACCTTCAGAAACACCACCAGTGAAGGCAGTGGTGAACCCGTACGCAATCGAGTGGCCACACGCGACAGTGACGCTGCTGCAGAGGCAGGGTTCCTTCCGGGGCCTGGGCAACCTGAGCCAGGCGTTGCCCTTCAAGAGACAGCTGTTGCTGCGGCTCAACGAGCTGCCCTCAACGCTTGAGCGACAGCGCGCCATGTCCCTCGACACCGCCACCACCGACCTCTTCCAGCCACCCACTGCACGTCACAACGGATTCACCAACGTGCCCCCTCCGATACCCGAGTCCTCTCCGCTGAGCGAGAGGCCCGACAGCATCAGCGCCATGTGCCAGCAGGTGAGCCAGGGGCTCACCCTGCTCAGCGACTCAGCCAGGGACGACCCGTTCCGGGAAAAGGATGCTCCGCAGCAGCCACTGCCACAAGCCGGCGTGGCACCCGTGCAAAAGAGCAACCCCTGGGCTGACTCCTCTCGCGCCGATGCCTGGCTGGCCTCCCTGCCTACCCAGCACCTCCACCAGATGTCACGGGGTCGTGGCGTGGCCAAAGACAGGAAACTTTGCGTAGGAATTTAACTGTTTATTTGGGCGAACCTGCGCCCGGTAAACGGAAAGTCCGATTACAGTAGCAGTCTTGGACTGATACAAAGAGAAGTTTATTAACTTCAAACTCAAAAAAAACTCTTTACATCATTTATTCATACAGTGCTCGTTTAGACACCCCTCTTGTGCACTATGGGGCATACAAACTCCATTATCCATAGAGAAATTAGCGGCACATACACAGATCTATAGCGGCGAACAGAGCGTCGGCCGTCGATCAACTACTGACAAGCGGCGAAGCGCGTCGGCATTTATATTCTTGCCGTCGAATGTTCTAGCGTTATCGCTGGCGGTGGCGTAGGTTCCAGAACAATCTGTACCGTTCGCACAGTGGGCGTGATCTAATCGAAACGATCTACTACAGTTCGGAACCTTCTCGAAAACTGCAGGCGCGGTTTGCGCTGAGAATCGTGTGGTGTTTTGGGACGATAACAAAAACTTGGGAAATGTAACGTGGCAATACGATCACAGCTACGTTCATTGCACGTCTAGATGTGACATACATCTATTTCTTGATGTCAACGCATCAATCTCAAGAATTGCCTTTTAAGGCGAGACACAAATTGTAAATTTAACAATCACAGACTTGTGCCGAGCTCTCTTTCTGTCGTCCTCAATGCCGATGACGCCAGTGTGGGATTCCAGCCCGTGACTTGTCGCATCGAATGTTGTAATACAGCTGCTTGTAACTTAATTTGGTTATACCGAAGTATTTAACATCAAAAAGCCCTCGTTCACTTCTGTTATCGCTTATTTACCGGTTTCAAAATTGGTTTTGCTTTTCTATGTTGTGGAGCCGATCTTTTCAGGAAAAGTAGCCTCATGATAATGCTTGAAACATGTCTCATGCCGTCTGAAGGAGGACCCGCCAAGGATCAACCATTTGAGTTTGTGAGACAGTTTGAGTAATGAATATCGATGACAAAGAGAAAAAGAACACTCTGATTGGTATATGCCATAGGTTGTGAAAAGTCACTTTATAAAACCATCATCGATCTTCTTTCAGATGATTGGATGGTTGTCTTTTTAGAACTGGTAAAGCTGTTATAAAGCTCGGTACCACCTTCTGGTCATTTTGCGGATGGGATCGCTACTACAACGTCCTAAGAAATCATCTTCCCTCGTAGTTTCACCTTGCTCTTACACCCACGATTCATATAATTTGAAAGTCGGTGAGCGGAAATAAGCTTCAGATGGTGTAACAAAAGTTATCGCTCACTAGCCAATATTTGATTGGAGGATCTCGAACAAGCACCGTAGTCCAACGTAACAACAGTTTTGAAGCTTAACTCATTTAAAAACAAAGCTTCTTTGGGTGTGGGTCGTTCCTTTTTTGTAATATTATGATGTAGTAGCAACCTCTAGTTAGTTTTAAGAATTGCTCGCTAGATGGCGTCGTCTGTATCTGTCCTTGGAAATATCACTAAATGCCTTAGTAGATTTCCATAGTTGACGCTTAAAGAGGTTGGAAATTCACAGAATAAAAAAATCACAACATATCCACAGAGTCAATGATGATGAGAAGGGCGACGCGTCCGTCCGTCCGTCTGTTCATTTGATGCGTGCTCTATTGTGATAGGAGCGGATGGACGGACAGAGAGACAGACACACAGATAGACGGACGTTCGGATGAACAGACAGACATACAGACAGACGGATCGACGGGCGCGCGAATGGATGGGCACACAGGAGGACAGACGGATGGAGGGACATACAAACAGACAGACGCTTCGGCAAGCTCATCATTATTCGCTCCATGGATATGCTGAGAACTTTTGTTGTAGTATGTAGTTTTCGCATTGTTATTACTATCGTTGTCCTTTTTTAATTTTAGTATAAGTATAACTATTTTTTCATAGTAACATTATCAATATTATGAGTATTGTTATTATTAATACTAATAATATTAATAATATAAGTAGTAAATCTTGACGGCAGATTCACAAGGTGAATGCTGATGAGATTGGACGAAGCTCCTGGAAGTAATACCGTGAAATTTTCTTCTTCTTTTTGTTTTGCTTTAGAAACATCTGGCGCCTTTTCGTTTTGCTTTTAGAAAGCATCTGGCGTCTTTCGTGGATTTATTTCTTCAATCAACGGCGTTTTGAACAAAAATTTTTTATTGCTTAATCACACACAGGAGAAATCTTACCAGGCACTACCTTGGAGGTAAACAATGGCTGCTACTGGGAATGAGAGACAGCAGAAGTCCTCTTTTAACACTTCTACTTCCCCTAACGTTTCTTACTGGAGCATGCCAACGGCTGCTAATGGGAAACGAGAGGCAGGAGCATTCGGCTTTAGTTAACGCGCCCACCGCAAACTTTTTATTGTTCAAGAAAGCACAGGAGAAATCTCCCACCGGCACAACCTGGCAGGTTAAAATGTAACACTTGTTACACACTTCGACTATGACTACGAGGGACGAACGGGTGCCGCTTTAAGGATGGATTGATTTTGTAGGGGTTTAACGTCCCAAAACCACGCTATTATTATGAGAGATGCCCTAGTGGAGGGCTCCAGAAGTTTTGACCACCTGAGGCTCTTTAACGTGCACCTAAATCTGAGCACCTGGGCCTACAACATTTCCGCCTCCATCGGAAATGCAGCCGCCGCAGCCAGGATTTGATACCGCGACCTGCGGGTCAGCAGCCGAGTACCTTAGCCACTAGACCACTGCGGCGGGGCTGCCGCTTTAAGGAGCTTCGCCCCTAATATTAGTATTAGTAGATGAAGTAGTAAAATTATTATTATTGGACACAACACAGAAACTCAACTATTATCTATAGCAGCAAGTGCTGTTGTATGGAAAGTACCAAGTCAGGAAAGCAGGCAAGCTCTCTAAAACTTGATCGCACCTGTAAAAAAGTTAAATTAGATGAAAGTAGATATGTTGACACAGATAATACAATTAGCTGAATTGTCCAAGCCGATAAAGTACAGGAAACTAAGCGAGATGTGAAACACCTAATGAAGCATCACCGAAGCTAAAGAAAAGAACTTTGCATGTAGAAGACGCCAATATGTGCACTGAAAAATATGGGAGATTGTCGTTTAGCAATTTCAGACAATATAAATATAAGTGTTTCTTCTTTTTTACACCTCTTTGCGCAGTACTCTTCTGTTTCTCCTGCTTGAACCATTACCGGGTCTTCAGTATGTTGTGAAAAATTACCTGGTTAAATTATTACGCAAATATTTTTACAAATTAATAATAAATAAGTGAGTAGTGAACCTTTTTAGAATGGGCAGGTAAACACACACAGTAAAAGCCACACAGCAGTGCCCGGGGCGTCCATTCTATGTCTCGGTCCATGTGTTTCTTAACGCTGCCCCACAAAAAGTTTCACCATGAACCAGGTCGCCCAAACAAAAGTTCTCCTAGGACAGCAAAAAACTAGAGAATTTTTTGTGTGAACTGTACGGCTCGCAGATAAGCCGGCTAACTTTGAGCTAACTCAGAGTAAGCAGGTTGCTCAAAGATAATGCATAACTGTCGATGACCTAAGAACGAGTAACAGCCAGTAAGGAGGCCAGAGTATGAGGCATAACAGTTCAGTTGCTCGGGACATTTTGAGGACATTTTATAAATAGCACACTTCTGACACTCCTCACGCAATGCCTAAATTGCAAAAAAAATAAGTTTTAAAAACAGTCGGGTTTACAAAAGTCTCGCGACAGTCAGAAGCTACATCGCTTGCGCCCACTCTCATCGTCATCCTTCTTCATTCGCCGCTTTACAATATTTCAAATACTATAATGTTTGCTTCAGGTGTACAAACTCCGCGTCACGAGGTAAAGCAAGAGGATCCTGAAATGTTCTAGCGTGTTTTCCATGCATTCTAACGAGCATGTTAAGAGCCAAGTACGCTAGGCTTCATAAATAATTTAGCCATCAGCTTATTTTGAACAGAAGTTTTATTTCGTCATAATGGCAAAGAAATAAATCTAATTCGAAACTGTTACATTAGCATTGTAATTGAGTTTAATGGCTCACTAATTTGGATCTGACCTCAAGAAACAACAAAATTTTGTAAAAGTGATTTCGGCTGCTAGAAGTAGTGAAGTGGCTTCCTGCTGTCAGTCACCTGAACGTAAAGTAGGTGGTGAGAGCATACAGCACGTACGAGGGCTTACGCTCAATCTATTGCTGTCTGTCGATATACTGCTCACAAAACCCGCTCTTTCTAATGATGAAAATTCGTAGCTACTGCTCGAGCGACGAACTCGCCCCCCGTCGACCTTCCCTCCAGCGCCCGTTCATGCCCCTCCTTTACTCGACTAGAGTGTATGGAACAGGTTAGTGCTCAAGAACGAGCTTTAAAACTGAAGCCTGAACAGGGTCATGCCGCTTGTGGCCTGCACTATGTGGTCATTTAAGAGTAGCGTGCAGCTCCACCAAACGGCTGCGGTGGTAGAATGCCCGCTTCCAACTCAAGCAACCAGGATTCGAGTCGGCGCTGTAGATGATCGGCTTTTCTTTGCAATGTGACTTGTTACAGTCGTATTGTTTATCCTCTATTTACTAAATTTAGCTTTACGTGATTCGTAATGCTACAAAAAGAAGCATGAAAGACGAAGGCAAATAGAAAAATATATGGCAGTGAGCATAAATATTTGCAGTACCACCGCATGGACAACCGACGAGAACTGAAGTATGAACTCTCAGAATTTAGCAAATACGAGACTCGAAATAGGACTTCATATTTTACGTTACTTCTTCACGCATACTCAGCAACTGAAGCTAGTTTTAGGAAACCAAGGAAAACTACTACGGCTATAACAAGCGACACTAAATAAAGAAAAAAAGAACATCTGAAAAAAATATTAGTTTGCAGGGACTCGGAAACTATTAGAAGGCATTGGAAAATGCGCTTGATGTGTTACAGCATTTCTGATTTGGACAGCCTAAGAAAATGTGGCGTGTTTTTTAAAGAACCGTGAAATGCAAAAACCAAGACCGCTTAAAGTTTCACGGCAGCATAAATTACGCCTTAGATATTTTCACTTTTGAAACAATTGTCACTAGGCTGAAGCGCTTCTTCATTGTAATAAGAACTTAGAGGCAGTTTCTAATAAAACAATCACAGCATATCCACGGAGTAAATGATAATGAGCGAAACGAAGATTCGTGGGCTCTCAACTCAGCCCTCCGTCCATCCGCCTGTCTGTATGTCTGTCTGTCTGTCTGTCTCTCCATTCGCCTGTTTGTCTGTCTGTCTGTCTGTCTCTCCATTCGCCTGTTTGTCTGTCTGTCTGTCTGTCTGTCTGTCTGTCTGTCTGTCCCTTCGTCCATTCGTTCGTTCGTCCGTCCGTCCGTGCGTCCATCGATCTGTCTGTCTGTCTGTCTGTCTGTCTGTCTGTCTGTCTGTCTGTCTGTCTGTCTGTCTGTCTGTCTGTCTGTCTGTCTGTCTGTCTGTCATCCTACCAAACTCCTATCAAACTAAGCGACACGCAACGCGCGTCTCCACGCCTTTAGCGATCACTTCACGTGGATGGATGGATGAATGGATGGATGGATGGATGGACGGACGGACGGACGGACGGATGGACGGACGAAGGACGGATGGATGGATGGATGGATGGATGGATGGATGGATGGATGGATGGATGGATGGATGGATGGATGGATGGATGGATGGATGGATGGATGGATGGATGGATAATATGACCATCATCTTTAGAACGGGGTGGAGAGACGTGTGCCACCAGGCTAAGAAAAAAATGCAAAATAAATCTTTTTATGTTGGCCTAATTCGTTATCTACTTCAAATAAATTGAGCTTATTATAACAAAGAAACATAAAATTTTGCGTTCCATCTATTTGCCTCTTCATACAGAATAAATGAATTTTTCTACTATTTCTGTCCTTTTATCACCACTTTTGTGCCACCAATACTCTAACTGCC